CCGGAGCAACCGCCCAACAGCGAACATTCACAGCCTACAGGAGCAAATCGGGGTTCAGGGTCTCGCACGAGGACAAAGCGCCCAAAACGTGGACGCCGACTGAGCCACTTCCCACATCTGCTGCTGCAGCAGGTTACGGATTTAGTCCGGCTAACGATGCGAGGCAACAACTCGCATGCAGAGGGAAGAGATCCTGGATGTAAAGATGATTACAGGCGATGCGAAGCTAATGAGCGAGACGAGCTTACAGCTTAACGAAGAGGCATCAGCCCACATGTGGAGTGTTATGCAGCGGCCTCGGTGAGTCGTAACGAGCGTCAAAACAAATAATCAAATTAGATGCTGGACAGCAGGACGCCAGCTTCAGATGTGAAGGGAAGAAAATGTGGTGGGGATTAGTGTGTATGATAAAACCGAGAAAATAAGTCCTAAAGAATTATCCATGTGCCTTATATCCATCCACGATCCATCATTCAGTATCTATGTATGCACCCGGGACGCTCCCTCCCTCTCAGTAAGTCATGGGGCTCTTCAGCTGTCGTATCAGAAACCTGCCCAGATGCAGGCCTCGCCCGCAGTAAGCTGAGCTGTGATCTCTCAATTAAAAACCTCAGGGAAATAAGGTTTGCTTCGGTGGAAAATATTTCTTAATAAAAGACAGCTTGAGGGGAATTTCTACGCAGAGAAACCCCAACAAATGATCTTCCTTTGATAGGAAATGATGTGTAAGGACTAGAAACCTAATTCAGGTCACTTCACACAGTCTCTCTGACAACATTAAAGCAAAAACGCATATTTGTGAAACCGTGCTGAGCGGTGCATTTCAAAACGCGCACTGAACCCCCCCACGGTGAGACGGGATTCATTATCATCATCATCATCATCAGTGACCATCCCGAGAGCTTTCCTGGGATGTTTCCAATAATGGCAGCAGAGTTATACTGAGAAAACCCAGCAACTTTATACTGACTGCACTACTTCCTCTTTATCTCCACACGCTGGCTAAAGGTGGACTACAGCGATCCAGAAGACAGGCGTTTTTGTGTGCGGTAAAGGGGAAGGGGGGGAGGGGCGTCAAGTGAGGATCTTATCTACCCGAAGTACAGCCAGCCATCGATCAGAGCAGCATGTTGTGTGTCGCTGGGGGCAAAAACACATTGGAGGCACGCAGAACACTCAGACAAGGCCAGCTGGAAGCGTAAAAGTACAAATTCCTGGCTTGTGTGAGACATCGATTGTTACTTTATCAGCTGGTTCGTTTGCTTTACAGGACTTTTTCTTTCAGAACACAATGTGGCTGGAATGCATGATCACATACCTACGATCATTTCTTTAGTGCTTTTCTCATTAGATTCAATGATAATGCACTTCTGGAAACTATGCAGACAGGAAATGCTTGTTCAAATTAGGTCTTGCACAACAACAACAACAAAAAGCCCGTAGACCGGGGCAGATGTATCAGTCACCACGTTCCAGTTATGAGTCCTCAGATGATCCCCTCAGGTAGGAAATTGCAATGAGTCTAGTAAAACCTTTGAGCTGCAGGTCACAGGAACCACTGGGGCCTGTTGTCCGGCTGCTGGACGAGGCTCCTTACAGGGTTTATCTGCCTGCTTCACATCACAAAAACGGAGGTTTTAGAGAAATACATTGGTGATCTGTTGAAAGTCAGTTGTGTTTGGCATGTACCGTAGTGCACAGTAACATGTTTTTTCTTCTGATGTATCAACCCAGTTCCTAACCTTTTAACACCACTGTAGGTCCAGTAGCAACACACAGTGCAAACATTGACAACAAGATACAACTTCTACACACTGAAACAGCCTTATTATGGGTGGGAAACCTGCGTGTGTATAGTGGGAGACTGGGCGCGTGTCGGCCCGGCGGCTCTGCTCATTGCCTACATTGTGCGGCCCGCCAGCAGGCGTGGTGGAAGAAAAACCTCCCGGCCCGTCGAGGAGCTGCCTGGCAACCCGACCGCTGCCCAGATGGAGCGGCCTCGCTGGGTTTGTGCGCAAGATGGCGGCCACAATGGCGCTATTCTACTGGGCGGCGTGATCACTGGGAAGGAGGACATGACCGGGGAAAGAGGGGCAGGAGCGGGTTTGGGGTGTTACTCTCAGCCCAGCAGGTGCTGAACAGAGACGAACATAAACATTAACCCCACAGCAGTAGTGCATCACCAATGAAGGGTTTACGATAGTCGAGTTGTGATCCACATCTTAGGAACATCCTCAACCTCCAGGTCACGTTCCATGTGATGCTGCTATGCATTAAAGACATGGTGTTCGTAAAATAATATAATCATAAATGACCAGATCTAAAATGTAGATTATCACACGATGAGAGTAAAAAAGGTTTATCAACGGGAAGACTAACGACCTGCAGAATGAAACATATATACAAAAATGTATCTGCAACTGCCTTAATGCATTCATTTTGTACTCGCACTTTTTTTTTTAATCAGCTGTCACTGACAGTAAATTGAATATCTTTGAGGTTTCACACTGTTGAACACGCCTCTTTGGTCTCTACACGCCTTTGAAAAGAGGACGGCGTGTAGGCGAGGTGCAGACCTGGACCCCGTTTCACTTCCCATCACTGCTCCCAAACAAGTGGGCCGTGACTCCGCTCGCAACGTTTGCAACCACCCTGCACTAAACCACATGAGACACAGCGAGGCACATCCCGCCGTGGAGCCGGGTATGAAAGACGCGCGCATGGCCAACACGCCACTCCGGGCTGCCCAAATGCAGACAACCCTTGAGGTTGTTATGCAGAATGCAGAGTGACCTACCGTGCAACCGTCTGGGATGTCCTGTACACTGTTGAGCTCTGCACCGGCGTCTCCGCATTAAGACGCCTCCCCCTCTCTGTTATTGCACTTGCTGATTAAAGAGACAGCGGACATCGGGGGGAGGGGGGGGACTAAAGGCGGCCATTGTGTTGAGGTCAGAAGGGGCCTTGGACGGACTTCAAATGTGCAATGAGACGGTTGGTGTACAGACAGAGGGGCCATTACTTCCCCGCCGAGAGCGCATGAGACCGGGCTCGGAGCTTCACCCAAGGCAGCAACGCGGCCCCGTCGCAGCTTATAGGATCCACCAGACAGCGACGGTTTAGTGCCCCTCCTCCCCATAACTTGGCGCTGAAAGGGACGGAGCTGACATGCGGCCGGGCCCGCAGACATCACCGGTGGACGAGTCCCGTCGCCTCCAGTGCTCGTCAAGCTGCACCTCGATTAGATGCTCCGATCCAGCCATCCGTCTCTGTGAGAGCTTCTGACAAGGAGAGGAACTTGGTGTGGTCAAAGCCACTTTGCAGGATGAGCCCGACTGAACAGATGGGAGAGCTGCAGCGCCCTACTTTTTAAAAAGGAGGTATTCATTCAGACGCTGGAGCCCCTTGCTTTGCCATGTTGGACAAACGCAACCAATGGATCCCTGGCACGATGCGGTGGGGTTCACCACATCCCTCAGGGGGATAACAGAGGGCGAGACCCCTGCCCCACCCCTCTCACCAATCTATGCATCAAGGTTTTTAGCATAAAAGAAATCATGCTGCTTCACAGCAACAGTTAAGACACGTGGGGGGTTAATAGTCAGATAATTACCGGCCGACATCTGCTCGAGCTGCTGTTTCTTAATCGGTTTTATTTTCAGACAGTTGGACAGAAAAAAAAAATAGCCATTCAAGACATTTTTGCCATTAACAAAAAAAATAAAAAACAAAAACTTGTTTGCATAATGTCTACATCCAGATTATACCGTGAAGTCCAAACGTTCGTCCGCCTAAAAATGACTAAAAAATATTTATAAAAAACAGGCAACAACAGGAAGTCATGACCCAGCTTGCAAAGGCATGAACATTTCAGTCACAGTTCCCCGCTGACGAACCAGGAATTTGGTGCAGAGCATTGGGCAATATAACAAACCACAATAACAGAACATTATTTTGATCCATTATCTGCAGTTACCGTGAACTCTGTTGAAGTACGTCTCAACAGAGTTCACAGTGAACGCTTCAGACTGTAGCAACGAAACACAAATTGAAACAATATCTGTGGAGAGATGCAGGTCATTGCTCCTTCAACGTGAAGGGGGCAGAACCTCAGCTCAACCCCCCCCCCCAACGCAGCGTGTAGGTGGCTAAAACCACTGCGTTCATTATCGCACAGACTTCTTCAAAGCTATTCGTTCCAGCTTAAAACGAAACTACAACAAAATACCCGGGCTGCGGTAATTTAGCACAAGTTTGATATACTTTTGTTTTTTGTTCCGCCGATACACCAAGAGTCCCGGACCGGTCACTTGAGCCCCATTTTACCCACATCCATCACGACGCCTCCGCCTGTAGCCCCGCGCCGCCCGGCAGCTTTGTGTGTGGGCTTCTCTGCAGTAATGGACCGCAGCGTGTCAACACGTGTTCGGAGACAGAAAGAGAATACAGCGAAACGTAAAAAGCCAGAACCACAAAACGGCAGCCACGACCACAGCGTCCGACTATGGAACCAGATGAGATGAGGGTGGGTGACTAGGTTTTTTTTTTTTGCAAAGCCCCCCCCTTCCCCCCCAACAACAACACGTTGGTAGGTAACGTGAAGGAAAACCCACACGTCTCAACACGGTAACTGTATGTTATTTAGTGTTTATTAATCGGTCAACCCCGATGAATGCATCTTGGCACCCAAACGGAGGACCCGACGCCGATACGCGTGTCCGATAATGGGTGTCGAGGCGTTACGTGGTACGTTAACTAGCGGCTAACGCTAGCGTTCCCCAACAGATCTAACGTCAGCTACGGCGGAGTAACACGTCAAAGCCCCTTGGGTGAACGTAAAGCAAACCACGGTCAAATACACAATACACAGCCCAGATAACTACACTCCCCTGGGCGCTAATGCTTTTTTATTTTTTTACCAAAGCCTCCCGAGCAACAATCAGAGCAGCAACAGCAGCAACACAACGGGACAACCAGAGGCTGCGCGGAGGGCAACTCACCCCGAAAAGACTCCGCCGTGGTGTCGACCAGAGAGCTGCAAATCAGCGAGGAAGGGCCATGGGGAGGACTCCTGCGGTCGGGGACGGGGCATCCAGGTTTAGCCGCGTTTAGGTTAGACAATTCCACACCTAGCTTTGCTCTGACGCTTTTCCGGACTCCGTCTGCATTAGTGTGTGTGCGCGTGCGTGTATTTTGCGTGTGTGTGTGTCTCTCAGAGGCCTACAGCCTGGAAATGGGCTCCGCGCAGTCAGCGGAACGCGCATGCGCAGAGGGGCGGCGCAGCCACGGAGCGGGCGAGCGGTCTGCTGGCGCCGCCGCGTGGCCGGCGGGGGGAACGTCTGCTGATGTCAGACTGGTTACTGAGGTTAGATTTCCCCCCCGAGCTGCCCGTCTGCCTGCCTGCGTGGAATGTGGGATTACATGACGGTGGCTGGACCAGTTCAAGTGGTTCAAACTGGACTCACACTTTTTTTTATTTTTAATAGACGTCTCCTTGGGGATAATTTAATCTAAAAACAGCTGTGCAGTAACAGTAACGAGCTACAGTTACAAAACACACATCTCTATCCAAATGCACAAACATTTCCTAAATAAAGAAGCGTGACTGATTACAACAAAGGTGTCCAGAAGTGGCCTCCTTTCTTGGGTGATCATGGGCGAAACTAATAACATTAATGATGGCTGCACTCTTTCTCCAAATCCAAATTACTTATTGCAGAAAGCAAATATGCACTAAACCAAGTTAAAAACCTGAATGAAATGCAGCCGTGGTGAATGGTGAAAGAGGGGCCGTAATAACGCAAGCTGGCATTTGAATGATTTAACGCACGCACACATGCTCACACACCCAGTAGGCAAGAGGCACAGGTAAATGGTAAAATAGTGACGGCTCAATTGCATTTATCTGCTTCAGTGTCGTAGCAGAAGTCCCGTGCATGTCATCTGATGCCCAAACAGGTCTTTTTTTATGCAAGTAAGAAATTTACATTTTCAGAAATAGACAATTACAAACATTGTTATATTATTGAATAGTGCAGATAAGTATACAGAGCAGACCCTTTCAGTGTGTCTGTCATTGATGATACACGTGTGACTAACATTTGAATGTTGCAGGTTAAAAAGCTAATTCTACCTTTGCTGGGTAGTTTAATTCATATAAACGGATCATAGTTTGTATTCTAAACATCCAAATCCAAAATATTAACACTTTACCCCATGTCCGCCCACCAAAAGTATAGAGTTGAAGTATATAGTGGCGTTACACAGAAACCCTGTCTTGAAGGGGCCGTGAGGTGTAGTTATGGCGATGTCGTATTTCAGTATGACCAAAAATAACAGTTCTCACAATTTCATACACGGCGTTTGCAAGGTTTTTATTTCACGGTTGCATAAAGCAGCACCTACCCTTTGCTTCTGCATCTCGTCAGAAGATCAGGTTTCACATGTATACCTAAAGAAGTATTAAACTGTTTTTTTTAGATGACGCTCTTCACAAAACGTACATACAGCTTCTTCAGACACAACAATGGCAAAACATCAGTCAAAAACCTCAAGTACAAAACCTCTTTAAAGGGATTTCCACAGCTCACTATACTTCTGAAAAATGTGAGATACAAACCTATCAGCGCTGAGTCCCCCCCACAATAAATCACTTCCAGATCCTCCCCAATGAAAATAAGGAATGTTTTTTGCTTCAAACATGACGGCTCAATCCCAATCAAATGATTAAGCGTTTCAATTGGTCTTTGCTGTAACCAAGATGAAACAACGTGGCTCCGAAAACGCAGAGAGAAAGAGACAGAAGTGTCCTAAACGGCTCAAGTTTCCCTGAGTGGAGATTTGATTTAGACCACTATTCCCACCAACAGATTAAGCTTACAGTGGTCTGGTCGAGGTCTCAGGTCCCACGTTGGTCAAGTGAAACACATTCTCCAGGAGTCATTTGATTCTTTCTTGCCGTTTTCCTGACAGATTAGTCGCAAATCAAAATGTTTTTATCAAAATGTCACACATTCAGTTCAGAGACGATCCAAAGGGTACAAGTTGAAAGGCAGTCCACTAAAGGACGTTCATTACTTAGATAGTTTTTTGACACTTGGGTTTGAACTTGTAACAGAAGTAACAGATATTTTTGCTCTTGGAAAAGTCATTTATATTAATATATAAAAAGCTCAATCTACAAAGTGCATAGCTGTCGTTTTACTAAAGTGGGCAATTTGCTCATCAGAGGTTTTAACAGAAGATCGCTATGGTGACCAAACAAAAGGAATGGATACTTCACCCGAGGTGGCTGAATCGGAGGTGTCAAAATGGAAAATAATAATGAGGTTTGACTAACTGGCTATAATCCCTGGAGATTAACCTGGCCCAAGATGTTCCTTGTCCTTGGAATGTGTGCTTTGAAATCCTGTTCAACGTGCAAGACTTCACAAATGCAGAAAACAAATCCTCAGAAGTTCCAGCGGCTACGTTTCATTTTCAGTGGTTGAGAACTTGCCTGACGAGAATGAGTGCGCTATTTGATGTAATCTTAATCCAAAGTTTTTCTTACATTTTTCATACATTGTTCCTGAGATATATTCCAAAAAATACTAGAAACACAAATTCTATGTAACAAAATGCTCAAAATGCTACAACAACTACTAGACAAAACACCCGCCTGAACGGGTACAAAACTGCATTCAATGAAAAGACGATGGACGAGCGTGGCAGACGGCTTTAGGCCAAACTGTGCGCCACCCTTCACAATCTGGAGGAGGAAACAGGAAGTGTGTCTCTGCTGCTGCGCCTGGTCACGGGGTCAGAGGTCACAGACTCGTAGTGCTCAGCGACGACGTTATCAAAACACGCAACAGGAAACCTTTCCCTCTCAAAAACAAGAGGTGTCGCACGCAACGTGTGGTGAACCCCCCCCCCATCCCCCCTCACTCCCCTTCCTCCACCCTTGGGAGTTTTCAGAGGGGCAGCAAGGTAAGACGCCGCATACAAACTTGTACAACTAGCAGGCCGTTCCCTCCGAGTGGAACCGGACTCAACGTCAGCGGCTGCTCTGTTATGGCGTGTGCAGGGGAATGACAAATTTACATCCAAACGGTGAGCGGTAGCGGATTCCGACTTCCTGGAAAACCATTTTGGGGATGCCAATGTCACAGAGGTAGACCCGGCTCTCCGTCTCGGCCAGCGGCAGAGGGAGGCCCAAGGAGAGGATCCACTTCGCCTCGACACTCCGATGCGCACTGCCGACGGTGGGATCGATGCTCAGGACGGGGGCCCGGTTCTGGTTGGCCCAGTCGGCGGCGGACTGGTACCAGGACTGCTCCCTCAGCAGGGGGTTCTCGTGGCAGTCCAGGCAGTTGATGACCAGGTCGACGGGGCTCGCCGGCAGGTCTGCGGCGGGAAAAGAACGAGACGTGATGGCGGTGAGCGTAGTTTCCAAAAGCAGCCTCACAAAGACGTTACTGAAACCGGGTCGTAAATAAACGTGAGTCATAAATGATCGTCAACACGCCAATGGTGCTCCACTAGGGGGCAACGTCTATCTGTGCTCTGGATCCCGTTGGACGCACGGCCCTTCCAATCAGTGTCACACACCAGTCCAGCCGCGCCCCCCCCCGCTGCTGTGTGCTACCTTTGACGCTGGCCACCTGCTTGCTGCTGGTCCCGCCGTAGAGCTGGACCTCGCTTGTCACAGACTCCTGCATCTTGACGAAATTGGGCAGGAAGAGGACGACCTCGACGCCGTGGTTGGCCAAGTGTCTGCCGCAGCTGACGCCCTGCGCCCCCTGGATGTGAGGCCCACACAGGAGGACCACGGTGGGCTTCTGGTGGACGTTTTGGGGGGTGAGTCTGAGGACATTCAAGAGTTGAGGGCGTCACTGCGGGATGGAAGACATCCCGTGTAGTATTCATGAGTGGGACAGCACATAGCTCATGGAACAGACTGGATCATATCCAAACATGCTAAGGACCACGTCATTTACAACACGCATGTAATAAGATCCAACTACAGGTAGTTTAAGAGACTAGGTGAACTGATCTGCTTCAAAAACTAAAATATCAAATGCTTTGGATTATTGAACAAATTCTTATTATTATCTAGAGATAACCAGAGTAAATACAAAATGATCATTTAATTTATTGAAACCTACTTGGCGCTATGTGATAAAGAACTTACAGGCCTCACTGTCCCTCAGTTAAGGTCGGAGGTCATAACTCAACAATAAGAAAGCGACGAGGCAAACATGGCAACTACTTGCCATAATTGATGGAACCAAGAATTCCTCCCTCTACCAGAATGTCAGGTCATCAGTTCGTGACCTCCAGCTCGAGGTTCTGCAGCAGGACAACGATCCACAACCACCTCTGAATGCCGGGCTAACTGTCATATAATGATCTGAAACATTTACGTGTGACAAGTATGCAGAAAAATAAGAAACCACGGCGCTATACATCTCTTTAAAACATATAGTTGACCTGTTCCAGATGAAGGGAGCTGATCTACTAATGGCAGGAACATTCATTTACACACTGATTCGCTCTCCTCATAAGTGAGATGGCCTATCGTGAATTGGGTTGCAGTGGTTTGTTATTTTTCTCAAAGTGGGTCACCAGACAAAAATTAATTTTCTTAGTTTAAATAGGGACAAGGTTGTTGCATCAGTGTAGGAAAACATTTGTTATAATAAAAAACTATCTGTACGTATTAATTAGATCGCTGAATTTCCAGTTAAATGGGCTCAAAAAAAAGAAACAATAGACACTTTAGGTTCAATCATGCTGCTGCATGATTGCTGCTGAGCAGACTTTTGGTGTGGATAGTAAATATTTCGGACAGCTTTCTAACATCATTCTGATATTTAGAAGCTGCTTCATTTTATGGCAAAAATAATCAACACGGATCACTTTCCAAAACAAACCTTCAGCTCAGCAGAAGGTTCTTTGTCATAACCACAGGCACTTCAGTAATGAATATGGTATCATATTTCTAATCATAGCCCTAAAATGCTCCATTAGTTGCTTTTCATTATTACTGTACATACAAGAAAAATATTTATTTAATGCTCGAGTATCTAAACTGTTTGAGAATGACTTTAATGAATCCAATGACTTGAGGACGAGGCCATACTGGTATTACAATAACAAATTGCACTTTGGAGCAGTAGCTCTGTTGTAAACGTGAGACACACGAGTCACGGGTTGCCGCTGAATGGATGAAAGAATCGGAGGCAAACAAACCCGTTTGTTATACGAGCCGCTGCAGTGAGGTAAGCAGTGACCAACTGGGCTTCTTCAGGCTGTGCTGCTTTTCTAAGAAAATGAGCTCAGAGGGATGGTTACAGGTTGCAGAGCCCTGCTCAGCGATTGTACAACTACTCAGAAGAACATCCTTCTTCTCATGCAATTGCTCTATTGGCACTGCGCTGAACACCAGACGGGTCGACGGTGAGGTTTCTCACCTGTTTGGTCCGCCCAGCAGAGTGAGAGCCATCTGACTGGAGCAGACGCCGGTGGTCTCCAGCCGGCGCTCGAGGGACAGGCCCCACCGCTCCGCCGCCGCCAGCAGACGCTTGTGGAGCTTGTACGGGACGCTGGGGACCACCAGGCCCGAATCTGCAAAGGGGAGACGGAGAGCACGTTGACGCTGTCCTATGCACGTGATGAAAACATCTTCCCGTTCTACCAAACATCTGCCTCGAGGAGGTGGCCTTTGCCAGGAGCGTCTTGGTACAGGTATTCCTCTGGTAGAATAGAAATGCTCTATTACTGTAAGGGGGAGGGGGCGGCTTCCTCCTCCTCATGACCCGGAGGAATATTCTCCATTTCCTCTCCTGATTTTTTCTGTCTTGTCTTTTGCTGCCGTCTGCTCCAACAAAAGGAAGATCATGCGGCAGGATGGCGTGACAGCAGAGTACATCAAAACCATGTGTGTGTGTGTACATACATGCACAGCTGCACCTGTATCCCAGCAGCTCGTTGTGAGAGATTGGGGAGGGCAACACGGGGGCTTACATGGCGGTAACAGTGTGGTAACTATTAAATAAAAGGTAAAAACTTGTTTGTTTTTTGAAAGCAAACCAAATGAATTCATAGAACATCATTTTCGGTTGGAATATGTTTTCAAATTAAGTTTTAATTAACACATAAAATAACTACTCAGTGGCGACTCGGCAACAACAGCAATTCACTCACATCAGGGTCCAGACTCGACGTTGTTTGTGTCCGCAATTTGTTCTTGTTTTGTTTTCAACCTACTTATCGCTGCATTCAACCACAACCTCTTATTTTAGCTTTTCTCTAGGGGAACATTAGAGATTAGACTAGTATCTATTTTAGAGTAATTAGTAATGATTGGGTTATTAAATCCACAGGGTTAAAAAAATACTATTGTAATAATTAAAAACAAAGTTTGGGAAAATCAAATGTTTACTTTAACAGAACCTCAATTTCAAAACTGCAGAATTTCTTCTAACCGTTTTTTCCCAGTTCTTGGGCATGTGCCCGAGCAGGAGCACATCTGGGTGGATCAGAGAGCCCCTCCGCGCGGCCGTCACCACGGACATCCGGTCCGCGTTAGAGTTGTTCTTGCTTAACGGACGCGCATCGACGGTCAAGTCCTCGACGGCCTCCCGCGGACCCGCCGGGCCTGGTAGCCTCGTCGCCACGCGGGAATTTTGCTCGCTGCCACACAGCAAAGCACGCCACGTGACACACGAACACACACCCCCCCCCTTCCCCCCGCACACGAGATACCTACTTAGAGACACAGAGACTCCTGCCGGGCTTGGCTGACATTCTTGCTTATCTTAGGGGCGGCCCTGCTCTCTCCTCCCACTGCCCTTTCATTGATACCGCACGAAGGCCGCCAATTTATGAATAGGACAGAAATGCCGATCCAACTGCCTCTTGTCATGCAAATGGATGCCTCCAGTGCACAAGTGGCTCCACCCGCCAGGTGAGCCTCTTAATAACTCTGCTGAAGTATTTGGTAGCTGAAGTTGCAGCTACCAAAAATATGCACTCCTCCCTTGCACACACAAACACGCACGCACACACACGCGCACACACACACACACACGATGTGGGTAAAAAAAACGAGAGCAAGACGAGGGTCACGGAAAAGCAGTTTAATGCGTTAATCTGTGAGATTCCCCATTTTGGTCATTGATAAAATCATGCAAAGTTAAGCCTCCTTACATTTGTCTTCAGCACCAGTGAACGCCACTGCTCGAGTAAAAGGTTTGGTTTACTAATATTAAAACTCAACTGCACCGTGGCCCATAAATAGAAATGTTGATTAAAAAAAAATGTCTCTGCGGCCCTTGAACATCATATTTAATGAAGTGTGTGTATGGAGCCAAATCCAGGTCAAAAGTTTGAAAGTTTTGGTCTTGAACATTAAAAAATATATATAAGATATTTAAAAAAATGATGAAAAGTATTTTTGGGGTTGAATATAGTTTTGAGGTTTGTTTTCAATCTTCACATATATATAGATTTTGATATATCCGGTGTATTATATATTTCACAGATTTTATATTTTCAGATTTAAATCTTATGTTTTTGATTTTTTTTTTCTTTCCCACATAACTTTTGACCCTTTTGAGAGGGGCGTGTATTCATGACCATACGGCTGTACTTGCTGGAACTTTGGGGTTGCATCCACAGTTAAAAGCCTCCCAAATATAATGTCAACGGTTATAAATCCTGACATGAGAAACTCTACTCATCACAGAATCCAGCACACGGTCGAGATCACCGTGGTATACTATTCATTTTCTAACTGACTGCTGGGGTGTTTTCCAGACAAAGATATTTAGTGTAGAAGTATTTAGTTGTGTGAAATAAAATCCAATGTGAAAAACAGGTTGTGCATACGTTTGAGCACCTTTATCATTTGCTTGATTGGAAACTACTCAATGCTGATTAACTGCAACCCGTAATTAGCCTTCAATTCCACAGAAAGGTGCTGCATCCAATCATTAGAAAAAGGTATTCTAGGTGGCCAATTGCAAGGTGTGCTTCTCTTTGATTTTGAGCAGTGGCAAAATGAGGGCATCCAAACAGCTGTCAAATGATCTAGAAACACAGATTGTTCAGCAGGATGGTTTAGGGTTTCCGCTGCGAGGGCTGTTATTGAGAAATGGACACTGTACACACGCCAGAAACAAGCTCGCTTGGATTTTGCCAAACTACATTCGATTGAGCCAGGTTCCTTTTGGAACAAAGTGCTGTGGACTGATGAGACAAAGAGAGCTATTTGGTCACAACAAGAGGCGTTACGCATGGAGGCCAAACAACACAGCATTCCTGGAAAATATCTTACTGAATTGGAGATGTGTTGTAAGGAAGAATGGTCCAAAATACCTTCAGCGGGAATCCAGACACTCATCAGAGGAAGCGTCTAGGGGCTGTTATCTGTCGGGGTGCCTGTCTAATTCTGTTCGCATATCAAATTAACCTTATTTCACTGCTAAAATATCCCTGAGTCCATGTCCTGGTATTATGTATGTGACAAAGAACTTCCTGATCCGAATGCCCAAGAATTTATGAATGGTATCAGATATAAGAGGGCCTCGCGGACTAAGTGAGGGTTTAGTTCTGTCACACCGTTGTTTGATGCTCCTAATGAACCCTTTCCGTGTCAGCATTGGATGCAGGGAATTACCCACAAGTCAATGCGGTCGTCGTGGCGCAGGGGGTAGAGCGTCTCCCTGAGCAAGACACCTAACCCCTAATTGCTCCCCGGGCAAAATGTAAAAGCCATGGGTTTAAAGTGTAATGTAAGTCGCTTTGGTTAAAAGCGTCAGCTAAATGACCTGTAATATAATGTAATGCAATGTGACATTACAAAACGGGGTAACCGGTGAATGGAGATGTAAAAAAAAAAAAGACTAAGGACGTCACACACGTGGGCACATGAAAATGTATACATTTAAAACATTATGGATTAAAGATGGAAAACATGACAACATGAAATCCGACGATATGTAATAATTTACACATCAAATATGTAATTTTGTCATTGTCAACTATTTTGACAAAAAACTGTAAAACATTAATTAAAATGAGCTCTCATCTCATTAGGAAGGAGCCTGAAAGAAGTTCAAATCTGAGAGTTAAACACGCGACATGTGTGTCCTACTCAAGCATTTACCAGGTGACGTCAGCGAAGTCCCCGAGGGTTCAGAGCTCGCTGTTTAGGGGAGACAGAAACCTAAAACGCTTCACAACCCCACGATTTCCCCCTAGTGATCAGGAGTAGATCCCTGCTACACACGAGGTTCACGTAAATCCCAAGGTCACTGCGTTATCTGGGTTCAAATAGTTGGGGAATCACACACACATCTCTATTTTGCATCCTGCTTTCTCCAAAAGTGGTATGGCACATGTACATAAACAAATGGAGAAGGAGAACCAGCCCACGGTTGGCTTGATTGCAATTTGTGCTGCGGCCTGGCCTGTATGCGTCGCACAGCTGGAGTCAATCACACCGCAGGACGCCGAGACAATAGCCGATCTAAACTTTACACGGACTGCAAGAGCGCTTCGCACAATTAACAACGGTCTATAGAAACGGCCCCCGTCAAACTCCCATGCCAGCGCGTTATGGCAACGCTCGCACACAGGCGGGAACTTGGATATTGCCTGTGTGTTCTCATGACGTCGTTGCCGTCTGTTTACTGGCATAGATTCCGGGTGAGGAGCGCCGCGGTTCGTTCCCGCTTCGGAGGTGCTGTTTATGTAAGCCTGAGCGGCGGCACGCTAATTACAGAGTGCAGAGGACGCGGATTATGATGACAACCCTGGGAAGCAGATCGGCCTGCACGGCAAGAAAAGGAGTCGAAAGGAGCGGGTCCCCCGCCGAGTCCCCCAGTGTCACGGGCCCCGTCCCGGTCGTACTGGTCAGGACGGGCGAGATCGCGCACATTCAACGTTGGGTGATGACGAGAGAGAGAGAAGCATTTCCCCGCCCCGCACCACCTGATCTTGGGACCAGAAGCGGGTGGAGTTTCATCCCTCTAGTGGTGGTACGACACCTGCGCTCACACACCCCGAGTGACGGCGGGGGCCTGTCCCAGCACGCCACTAGCTTATGTTTGTATGGAGCGGTTATGTAACGCTCAGGTTCCTAAAGTAAGCTGAGCTGTGAAGAATGGCGGGTTCAGCCTCTGTGTGGACCGATTACAGGGGGAAGGGAGACAAAAGCCACAATGACCAGTGTCCAGGTTACGATTCCAGTCAGCGTGACCTTTATCTGCCCAACGCATCAACTGGGACCCCCCCCCCGTCCCATGGTGCATGTGGCTCTTTCCTCATTGTGTTCAGCAGAATGAGATGCTACAGCACATTCCGCAGTGAGTGTGAAAAAAACAAAAAAAGACGGTGAAAAGCTGGAACCGTGCTTCCAAGCGGTGTTTGGTCAAACGCTGGGAAAAAAATGAAACAGTCCTTCCAGAACAAACAGTGTGCTCACACAGCGGTCACGCTCACCGATAACGCCGCTCTGCACAACAAGGACTCACTGGGTTTCTTTCCTCATATCACGCATACAAATGCGCCCAGGACAATCTCTTCTCAGCACACACCTTGTTTTTCCCCAAACAGTGTGACCGATAACTTGGCTGTTGAATTTTCTAATTAACAGTGTGTTGATCGAGATCTCAGTACTGTTTGACTCCACCACCCCGTCTGTGGCACTCACTTCAAATTCCATTGGTAACTATAATGAAAAAACGTGTCTTAAAAAAGGCAGTAAAGATGTATAATTAAATTTAAAAAGCCTGTAAAGCATAAAGCCACTGTATTATATTGAAAAGCGGATGCCAACAGGAGTTAAAGCTGCATTTACTGGTGTCCCAGTGAGTACTAAACCCTGGAAAAGTGTGTACATCTGATTAACTCGGAATGAGCTTCATGGCGATTGCTTTTAAAAGGGAATATGTAACAACACTAGTTTCTTTTTTTTCCCCAGACTAGCGTGCATGGGTCACATCGGCAACGGCTACAACATACTCACGAGTCAAGAGGCCTTAAGAACACGTGTGTGAGCGTGTGCGGTTTCTTCTCACCGGTGCAGTACTCTTTGCCCCCGGGCTGGGGCACCGTTATCTGGCGGTATACGACGGGCTTGGCCTCCAGGATGTTCTCGTCGTGGCGATAGGACGCGGGCTTCTGATCGCCCTGCGCGCCGTGATGCTGCGCCCGGCTGCCGCCGGCCCCGCCCATCTGGGAGAAGACGGCGGCCTTGTCGAACAGAGCCAGGTTCCCCTCGAAGTCGAAGTCCGCCCCCATGTTCTCGTCGGTCCCGGCTCCGAAGCACTCGTCGTCCCTTGTCCTCGCCGGACCGCCGGCTCCCCCGTTCCTCGCGCCGCTCTTCTTTTGCGTGGCCTGCGTCGGCCCTCTGCTGTTAGAAGCGGCGGGGGCTGGAGACGTTAAGGTGGGGGGCAAAAAGATGCATGTCAGTCATCAACACGCCCAGCGGCCCAGCTTTAGACTTTCTGAGAGTCCTTGCAATGTGGATTACATGAACTTCATCTTTCTACTTCTAATTTCTACGTCCTAGTAATTCTGATGAGTTCAACTTCGTAGAGGAGTGAAGATATTTTACTCCCATATGTTTCACTTTTACTTCCGTGTATTCCAATTTTAAAATGACTGGACGTAATGTTGACCAACAATGATCTAATATAAAAGTGAAAAAGCTAATTTGCATGCATTAATCTATGCAACATTTTAGGCCACGCACCCCCTTCTACATCGCAACCTCGTTCATGCACGCCCAACCCCGCCCAATTAAAAAAGAAAAACAGCCCATTTGTAGCTGCAATTAAGTTGGACCAATGAAAGTTTGCTCATACGTGGTGTTGTTATCTAATATTTAGACGGCTGTAGCATCTTGCACTGTCACCAAAGACCGAACAAAGGGGCAACTGCAACATTGTTTGTTCCGATTGGGTATTAATATAATAAACTACAGGTGATGCCCCGAAACACGTGTCAATAAATTCTAGTTACGTCACTTTTTAACAGCAATATGGATGACATTTAATTTACAAATCAACTATACATAGCGGTTTACATTAAAATAAAAAAATGTAGTTACACATCATGACAGAGGTGAGCTGCACACAACAAGGCTGAAAAGAGGAGCTCAAGTGCATTTATTTATTATATATTAGGGTTTATTTTTAGAATACCCACAGGGTGCCCACACCGCACTTTAGGAATCCCTGATCTATGCGATTACGGTAATGTGGCCAAGATTAATGCAACTAAATATTTTAACGGAGTTAACGTGCCTTTGTTTACTTCTGGAAGTAAACTGCAGTCAGTTACATTGGAAAAGGCAAGACTGTAGCTCATGATGGATCACCATTAATCGAGATTAATGAACTTCAAAATGTGCGATTAGATTAATGTTTCTTAAGCTATTGACCCTCGTCTTGATAGAAGTTATCGTTTTTATCAAATGACAAACAGTCCAAAATGTGTTCACAGCTCCGTAAAACCTGGATACCATTTATCAATTGCTGTTATAATGCAAGAAAAAAACAAACATTGAGAAGGTTTAATATTCCGCCTGGACAACAGAAGATAGTTAATAGCGTGACAGCGCTCTTGGTGAACGAGGGCCAATTTTGGCTTCCATCACAGCAGCCGGACCGTCCATCAGCGTGCTGCACAAACGTTCCTGCACTCAGCAAAACCTGATTGCTGGTGGCTCCTTTTGTTTTACGTTGCTCCGTCTGCTACTTTTCTTACTCTCTCGGTTGGTTACTTTGGCCCCGCCGAAAACCAAACAAGCAGCGCACACACACACACACACACACACACACACACACAACGGCAGACCGAGCGGTATTCAATAAAGTTTACATACGTGTGTGCAAACAAAACAAAAAAAAAAACCTAAAAATGAACAGAGGACAAGAAAAAAGAAAAGAAAGAAAACTGGAAAAACCTGGCCTTCAACACCAACCACGCTGAGCTCTCACGCTAACCGGGAGACAAGAGGCTCAGTCTCACGCTACTGTCACTGTGACAGCTAAGGTACTTTGGACTCTCTCACGCAAGATACTGGGAGGCTCAGTCACAGCACACAGGTATCTGTACCAAGCCACCCGCCGACTGCAACACACCTCGACACCTGACACGAGACCACAATCAGGCCACACAGCCACCTGCAACAGGCAGCACCCCACGTGTGGTCCTTCCGAACGCCATTTGGTCACGTTAGAGGTCTAAATTCCCCGGTGTGAGCGGGGGCGAAAGCCAGCGGCCGCATTAGCGCACGCCGACCACGTCTTTATTTACGAGGAAGTGTTTTGTCATGCCGCGAATCTCAGTATCTGAATGAGCCGGGCAGAGCTCCAAGTCAAACAGGCTAATGAATAACAAGCGGGGAGGGATGAAGAGTGAACGTTGCCATTTCCGTTTATACAGAACCTGCAACCGCAAATTAGCACACAGGTTCACTGCCAGGACTATTGCACACGGAAATGGAGGCTATGCCGAATCTGTACCGAGACAAGGCAATAATTAAGGAAATTTATATCTCTATTTTACGGTCATCTCCCAACTGGTCAGCAGGAAAACGCGATATTCAAGGGTCCTCTGGAGGCACTCTGGATCAAAGTAAGCCTTAAGAAAAGAAATCAGCCGATCTGGGTTTGGATACAAACAAAACCCACCATCTGAAGGCGGGTAAATGCGTCCAAATGCAAGACCCAAGGGACCTCTGGGAATAACATGAAACGCACAAACCCACACAGACAGTTGCTCTCTGCTCAGTGGTGGAGGTCTGTAATCATACTGGGAATATGAAGATAAAATAATAACCTTTCCAATAAGCATGTATCACACATCGGTTTATAGGAAATATGAAGCGGCGATTTACGGCCCACAAATTCACTCTCTATATGGAAGGAAAAATGCTGGTTTGGGGTCGTCTGGGGGGGTCGACCTGCTTGGGTCTGAATTCCACTCGCCATCATTCACAAAAGTGGTTTCTGAATTCCCATCCAACTCTCCCAGAAAGATAAGCGGCAGATATTCAGAGAACCATTCCTGGAATCCGCAATCTTGTATAAGCAACACTCCCTCCCTGCTTTCCCCTGTGTGTGGCTGGGGGGCTTCTTGGGAGCACGGCGTTGCGTGTGAAAGGACGGGCCCTGCCCAGGCCACTCAGCACTCTGGTCCCATGCAATTTGGGCATTAGCTCCCCCGCCACCAGTCTGGGAGCTAGAGATTAAAATGGAGAAGAAGAAAAACAACACCACAAAAAGGTAAACAGTGCTTCCACAATTGATATCGCATTTTTTCCCTTTTGCCTCCCGAGCACAGTGGGAGAACAGGGCTTCCTGTTAGGGGGGGGGGGGGGGGGGGTTTCCTGTGCTGAACAGGAGTCACGATGTGGAGAGAGAGAGAGAAAGAACGGGAGGGCACCGAGGCACGAAAGCCCTGGCTTTTTGCATAACCTCTTTAGGAGCACATGCGGGAAAGGAGGGAGGGAGGGAGGGCGGGAGGGGGAATGTTTATTGATCTTAGTCACACACATATTGTAAAGAGGAACTTTGGTACAAGCCTTTAGCACGCTATGGGAATCCTAGGAGGGGAGGGGAGGGGAGGGGTGGGGAGTCCTAGCAGGAGGGGGTGAGGTCCGGGCCCGAGCTTCTGTATGGGAATCAGTGACATGCAGCGAGTGAGTGGCTAGGAGTCTTGCTCGTAGTGCAATGTCAGCCCCTTTCATTTAATAAGAAACCAATTCAGGTTTTAAAAAGACGGACGTCTTTTTGCGCCAGCTTTGTCTACCATGCACAGGAAAAGCGCCATGGCAGAGGTGCTCTTTACTACCCGGCTGAAGAAGATCACGCAGCGCTTATGATAGCCAATGCTATTGACCTCCGACTCCTCTATTGTTTGCCGATCCCGAGCGTGAAAGTGAACCGGCTTCAACGGAGCCTGGCTGAGGCCACGGGGCTGTCCAAGCAGACCTCCAAGCAGACCAGAGGAAATGCCGTTTTCAGGCGTCATCCAATCAGGGACGGTTACGGCGTGAACGTACATGTGTGACGGGTACACAAGGGAATACAGATGTGCATTTCTGTGTGAATATGTGACTGACACATGTGAGGGGAGAACACTCAAGCACATTTTGGATATTAAAAGTGAAATAAAAGTACCATGAAATGAAATGTGGCATTATGAAATAAAAGTACCATGAAATAATTAAATGTATTTAATAATTATGTATTTATTGCCTCATTTATTTATTTCATGGTGTATTTCAAATGCATATTTCATGTATTTACGTATTTATTCATTTATTTAATTTTGACTAAAATGGCATTCCATAACGATGACTCTGATCACATTCTAGAATACACCCTCGCACCCTAATTTCCTCAGGCAAAAGCCTGCACCAAAACACTGTCGCAGACTTGGAAAATACCCACAATTCATAGCATTGCGACGTTAAGCACAGGGTTACCCGTGGAAGTTAGAACTTTAAAAAGTTAAACGACAACGGCACGAGCGTGTTCAGCGTGGCGTATTACATTACGAATACAAATTCATTACAACAAATTTATTAAGGATTAAAGATGGAACATGAAACACAAGAAAGCAGAGGACATGAAACTGTTCCACAGCTAGTTTATTCATAAACTTTATTGTGTTACTTAAGAGAATTACTTAAGCTTTGACCAATACCTTGTCTTGTGAGGCAAAATGGTAAAATAATGTCATATGTTGCAGCAACATTTTGTCTTTTGTATTTAACCAATCGTTCTGACCAATTATTATATTTGGCCTTTTCAGTATTTGAATATGTATTACAAGCCCATCTGGCACTTTTTTTAAACGGATGCTTCTTTTTATTACTGTAACACCGACAATCCCATGGGAGTAATAAAGGATTTATCTATTGATTGACTCATCAGTAACTTGCACTGCATGAAATTGTCCCTTTATTACCATGAACAAGTGGAATATCATTTTTGATCCCACATCCTGGTGCAATCGCACTAAAACGGATGCCGGAACATCCTTCCCATTGTGGACTAGAGAACATCACGCACGTCTGCTGTACAATCAAAAAACGCGACGTGGAGTGACTTGCCCTTTTCAGCCCGTCTAGGGTTGCAACTTTTCTAAATTTCTAAAACAATTAGTGGAAACCAGCAGAGTGAATTCCTGACATGCTAAACACGTCTCAAACGACGAATAACTCAACAATAATACTGTCATTTAATAACTAGGAAATGGTGAAATCTTTACATAAAATGAGCTTTCCGGACTCAGGAAAACATGCGTCAAACTGTGTTCATATTTTGGAAGATCTTTTAAAGTAGCTTTTGTTATGTCACTGTATTAAATTGCAGTCTACTTTGTTTATGACCTGCAGTGTTGGATGTCGCAGGCTTTAGGACCTGATTCTCTTATCTGCAGCTAATGCTGCCACCAAACTTTAATCTCCATCATTCATTAGAACACCAAAACAACAAAAGTTACACACATGTCAAAAAATGAATTTGTCCTAGTTTGAATTCAAGGGATTACCAACAAACGAGGATTTCCTTTATGTAGCATTAAACATGTTCACTCCTTATAAAACAGGTCTTTTGTGCTCTATCAGACAGTTAACCGGGAATGGTGAACGGCTCACCCGTGTGCCTACCTCTGCGTAGGATGGTGATTGGTGCAGTAGCGGACTGGGAGCTGCTTGTCACATGAGGAAGAGCGACTCTGTTACTCTGACCGCGGCGTGCTGATGCGTTGATGCTGGATTCCGTTGCAGCTCCCTGACCGGTGCCGGGCTTGTTGACTGTACTGTGGATGTCTAGGAACTTCAACTCCTTGATATCAACGGCACTGTAGAAGACAAAAAAAAAATGAGATTACTCACAGCTGGGATTGCCCTCCACCTCTACCACCCGTCTGAGGATAGAAGATGACTGACTGTTCACTATGCAAAGTATTTAAATCAGCATCTTGAGCTGGGCCTCAACCAAAACACACATGGTGATATAAATGAAGAAAAACGAAAAGAACTTCACCCCCAAAAATCGGGAATTGGTCTGTGGTTTATGTTGATGAAAAGGTGTGTGCAGCCGTCTTCTCTCGTACCTGAAGGTGACCTCGGGAAGAGGACATCTGACACCGTTGTGATAGGGCTGCTTCAGGGAGATGGTCTGGCTGCTGTGATCGACAGATGAAACCTCTCCTTGATAGATTCCCAACGTCAGCCCACAGTTTATGGAGACAACACTACCCAACCAGTCTGCGGCCATTCTGTTCGCTGTGATTCTGTGGTTCTGAAACATAAACAACAAGAGTTATTTGTGACAGTTCTACACAAACACAGACATTTTAGATGTTGATTTAGGTATTTTAGACTTGGTGTCTTTGTCAAAATTGGAGGATTGTTTTGGTGGGAACTTGGACTTATTGGAGCTGAGGATTCCTTAAATCTTGGCTCTATGGCATTCATTTAAGATTTGCTCATCCAGCTTCCCCTCTATGAAGCATTAAACAAAACTCAAATGAACTATTTCAGCATTAAACACAACGCAAATGAATTATCTTAGAAAATGGTGTCGCTAAGTGTATGGACACACGTTTCCCACTGTAAACGAAGACGTCATACAAAGTGGCCGCCGCAGCGCCTAATCTTAATTACCCAGCTGAGTGGTCCACGTGAGTTTACGTTACTTCCACAAGCTAGGAGGAGACTAAATGGTAATCAAACCAGTTCAATATGACCGGACAGCGTATTGTGAGGGGGCGCATTACATCGGGCACATTTATACGTTAAGTTACGTGCGGTGTGCGAATAATCAGCTTAACGTTACCGATCATTTCAAAAAGGTTTTCACCTCTGTCTGAGGCTGAATTGACTATAAAAAAAAACATAGATAGGGAAATGACCATAAAATAACATCCATATGAGGGCAGTGTTCAGAGAAATAGGCAAACATCACAACTACGCCGTGCTAACTAGCCGGGCAGCTAAGATTAGCTTCGCCAGCATCCGCGGCTGCTCGCTTGGTATTTAAGCGGACTGTCGGTCACTCGAGTCTCGCGTCGGCTCCTCCTGACTACCCAACCCGCGTGCGTGCAGTCGTTAACGGACACTTACGCCTTGTCGATAAATGTGTAGCGAGGCGTCAAGGAAAGCCAAAGCGCCAACGGTTTGTTTGTTCCGCTTTCCGGTCTAATGTGCGACGTCACTTCCCTTGTGGCCCACGTGGGTTTGTTGTGATTTTTTCCCCTTTCTTTCTATGAAGTTTAAACCAGTGGCCATCACATACAAATTGATTAGGTTAAGATGCCATTACTATGGAGGACATTTAGATCTGTTTTAAAATCAAGCAAACAATAGGACCAAGATGATCATTACAACATGGTTTATTTGGGTTGTCGATTAAAGGACCACATGTCCTTGCATGCTACACAATCATTGATACAAAGTACAAAACTGTATCACCTACTGGAGTATTCCAAAAATCATGGGAACATGTTTGGTGTCCTGATAATCTCAAATAGATTTCACCTCAAAACAAACACTAGGCATATAAAATACAAAAATAACTTGATATACACACAAAATCACATTTTGGGATACAAATGTAGCTTCACTGTCTGACATCCACATTATAGTGGAATTTAAAAAATAATTTGCTGACATATATAAATTGTATTCCCGTGTCCCAGAGGACAAACAATTGCAACAGTAATGTCCATCCGGTAAAACATACCGTGTATTCCAAAGTTCAACAATGCAACTTAGTCTCAGTGTTTTACGCCTTCTTAACGGGAGCGGTTTTACTTTAAAAACACAGCAGGTATCTCCTTATACTTCACCGAGAACCACCAACCGTGTGCAGGAATATCTCTTCAAGAACCAAAAAAAACATCACAAAGATTTGCTCACACAAACGCAGACAATCTGCAACAAGCACATTCAATCATCTGCTTCAATGCCCTTATCTCTGTAAATCAAATTCAGCATCTGGTGCCTAACATCTTGACCCATATTCAAACAGTGACTCTCCATACAGTGTTAAGAGTCAACTCAACACCACCTATTGAGTCACACACACTGTAAATAGCTTCACTCCTCACTCCTCGCTCGCATCGTCGCTCTCAGGTGGCAGCGCTTGTGCTTCATGGTGAGGCCGTATTCTGGCGTCATGTCCAGCGGCTCTCCGGGTATCGCGTGGAAGTGCAGCTTCTGGACGATGATAGCCAAGAAGAGGTACACCTCGTTCCGAGCGATGACCTCGCCGATGCAGCGCCGCTTGCCCATGCCGAAGGCCATCACCCTCTCCCCCTTCAGCTTGTTGATCTCGGTGCCGTCGGCACTCAGGAAGCGGTCCGGGTTGAAGGTGGACGGGTCTTTCCACAGCTCGCTGAAAAGAGCACAGGATGGAGGAAATAAGACGCGCTGCACTATAATACAACTGCTGAGTCAGTCGTCTTCAACTGTCTTGATTAAGAAACTTACGGATCTTGGTTGACCTGCCACTGATTGATGAAGACGCAGGTGTCTTTGGGAATGAAGTAGCCATTCAGAGACGTGTCCTTTGTGGTGCTGAAAAGACAAAGGGCAAAGTGTAAGTCTGCCGCGTACTCGCAGGTTTACATAAAGGTTCACGTGGCGTGTTTGCCCCGGGACTTTAGCACGTCATCAACACTCATTTCCACTCATTACTCTAATCTTAAAAAGGAGATAGACCTCACCAGTGAGGGATGGTGAAGGGCAGGAATGAAGAATGGCGAAGGGACTCCAGGATGAAGGCCTCCAGAAAGGGAAGGTTGGGTTTGTCGGAGAGAAGGGGAGAGCGATCCAGACCCACTTTGTCCTCTGGAAAAAGATTTTTAAAAAAGATCAAAATGAGCATCCCCGCATAGCGGTTAATGTTTCCACTTCTGAGCTATAAATGGAATACCCAAGGAAATGTTTTGTATAAAATATAACTGTACTTACTCAGCTCTTGATGAAGCCTCTCTTGTATCTCCGGATGAGCCACCATGTACATCACTGACCATGACAATGTCGTGCTGACGGTGTCAAAACCTGGACGAGAAACATAGATCGTTGTAAGGAAACTTTCAATTTATACAGTTGCTTATTTATTTATACATCTCAAATTATTAAAGTCCCTTCTTGACCAGATCAAGTCAACCTACCCGCTCCAAACAGGTCATTGACAATTCCCACAATCTTCTCGTCTGACATCTGCACGTTGGAGTTCTCGTCCAGCTTTCGGTCCTCGCAGTGATCGATCAGGGAGTCGGTGATGTCACGAATGTGGTCCTGAAAGAAGATGATCGCCCGTTCATACGCAGCTATTGAAAAGGGGGAACAGTGGGTCCTTCTTTGAGATAGAAACCCGAAAGAGACGCGTACCTTGTCATAGGTGGCGTAGTGCTCGCTGACGATCTTCTGCACAAATATGTTGAAGCGCGCATTGATGTCCTTAAACTTTGTCATCAAGGCGTTGGGCAAGAAGCGGAGAGCCGGGATGAAGTCGGCGGGGTTGCCGCTCCCTGCCACCTGGCTGAACTCGTCGCTGAGGTTCACCAGGCTCAACAGCTCCTGGTCGTCGTGGCTGTAGCGGCGGCCGAAGCACATGCCGCAGATCACGTTGGCGACGGAGACCACGATGTGGCGGAAGGGGTCGAAGCTGCCGTCGCTCGCCATGACGTCTTTGAGCTGCTGGATCAGGTACTTGCCTTCCTTGAGGATGTGCTCCTCCAGCATGCACGAGTACTCCGGCGTCGTTCCCTCAAGGGTGGAGAAGGAGCGCAGGGCGCTGTAGGCCAGCTTCCTGCGGGCGCGCCAGACGCCGGCCTGGTCCGTGCTGAAGGCCAGGCTCTTGCCGTCGTTGATCAGCCTGAAGCTGTACAGGTCGGGTCGGCCAGCGAAATCGTCCCCTTGCTTGATGAGGGCCTGGCGCAGCGTGTCATTGCCACTGAGCACGACCACGGGCCGCATGCCGATTTGGATCTGGAAGATGTGGCCGTAGCGCTTGCTCATGGCGGTGAGGCTGAGGTAGGGCCTGCTGCCCAGCTCCAGCACGTTCCCGATGAGGGGCAGGGGCTTCGGCCCGGGCAGCCGGCGGAGCCCCTTGGGGATCTCGGTGTGGAAAAACTTGTAGATCAGGTAGACCAGACACAACGTTGTCATGGCAACCAGGCCTTCAGATACCGAGACCGGACCAACGAGTGGTAGCATCATAAGCACCATGATGACAATTTATTTTCTTTCTTTTTTGAAATGGCTTCTGCACAACCTAGAAATTAAATAGGAGGGGCATTAGAATAGTGTGGCAGGGAGGAGGAGAAGTATTGTGCAACATGTTGACTGCACGCGCCATAAAGTAACTGAAGAAACTGGTGCATGGCAAGTGCATGTTATTAATTACTCCATAAGAGTGTATTCTGCACCAAAAAAAACTTTTTCACAATCCTATATGCAACAGAGTGTGCTTCTTTACTTCTACCCAACTATGACTCAGGGCAGAGCCCATTATTACAACAGTGATTTAAAAGAAAGAGTAGGAAGGTGCAACAGCAAACACACACAATTATCAACAGCATTGCAATACTGTGTTTTAAGTTGCATTAATCTTACCTTAGATGCACGGCAACAGAGCAGCAGTTCTGTGATCTCAGAAAGATGGCAGAAAAAAGAGCTTTTAGTTGAGTTAATACTCGAGTTTACTCTCTTGATCTTGTCTCCTAAACAGAGAATGGGCTCGTGCTCTTATAGTGCGCACCACAACTTCATTGGCTGCTCTTTGTGACGTAATCCCCCCCCACAACCCCTCCCTCGCGCTCTCTGTTTCTCATGAATGAAGCACTGAGAAAAGGTGTGTGTGCGTGTGTATATGTGAGCGTGTGAGCGTGTGTTTATGTGTGCGTGCCTGCAGTAATTGCATATTTTACAATTGTGGAATGAAAGCTTTCAGGTTGTTGTATGTTTTTTTTTTTTTTTTTTTTTGTTACATCATAAGGACTATGGTACACGTTGTAATGCACATTAAATACTTTGGTCTCATCCGTGCCAGCAGATGATGGATGGTGCGTGATAATACAAATACCAATTGAATCCACTCGGACATCAATATAACACAAATGGATCATGCGTGTGTGGAGGTTTCAAACCGACTTTAATCAGGAAAGTTTCAATGTCGAGGGGAAATTTATTTTATCGGCCGAGACCGAGACGAACTATTTGTCTTTTGCAAAAAGAAAGAAACTATCCCAGATACGTTCAAGGCAGTTATACCGTAAATGGCAGGATTCCTTCGCCTCTAAAAAGAATGCAACAGTGAATGTGTCTTTTTTTTAAACTTCTTAAGTCAATCCCATTGGCCCCCCAGTCAAACTATGAAGGTTTTGGTGCGTGAGAATAAGAGTTTTGCGACAACGCGCGCATGCAGCTGCCACCCAGGCGGCGGTAAGTCCTGATACAGCAGCCAGATGCCATGTCGTGCGTGCAGCTACCTGTTAAGTTAAAGATTGACCAGTTGCGTGAGAGCGCTCTGATCAAACCCTCACCTCCCCTTTGAGGAGGTGGAGGATGGGGGTGGGGGCGGGTGGGGGGAGAGGGGGCAGCTGGAGTGCAAAGGGTAGGTGAGTTCAATACCATTCCTCCGTCTCCTGTGCGAGCAGTGCGCTCTGTGACTGTTGTTTGCAAAAAAAAATAAAAAATGGTGTGGTAATTCAATGGATGAGCTGAGAAAAAAATTAAAATCCTTACTAATTAATTCAAATGTCTAATGTTTGTCGTGTGTTAATTCTG